ATTTCTCTAGGGCTCCATGTACCAATACAGTATATTATATACTTAACCGGGTGCCTATATAGGTACACTTGCATAAACTTAAATATATCAAAGGCTTTAGTATAGATGGAGCCTTAGGGTTCGGGCTGCTGTAACCAGAAGTCAATTCGCGGAATAATCTTCTCGGGGATTGCACTAGGAAGAGCACTGTGGAGGACGAGGATCCAGAGGGTCCTGGAGGATCCCTGGTCCCACAAGCCATAGAATGACCGTAGATAATGAACAGCTCTTCTTCAAGACCATAGCTTCACCAATGATGTGCAAGTACAGCTATCATCAGAGTACGGATAGCAGCAGGTTCTGGGGTCCACCTAGACCCTAAACCGAAAACCCCTGAACCGTCAAGCCCTAAACCCTGAACCCTGAGCCCTTTATTTTTTTAAAAAAAAATTAAAAAAAAGAACCCTGAGCCATTAACCCTAGATGATTCAATGATTTAGGGTCGTACTAAGACTTAGGCGCGAAGCTTTGCACTTTAGGGTTGAGGGTGTCACGTGGAGGGGCTTCTGTTATGGGGAGTTAAGGTGTCAGTGTTGAGAGATATCGGGTTTAGGGCTGCTTTGCCGGATATCTGTTGTACATAGTCGTTGTTTTCAGTTTCTGAGCCGTACGGTTGATGATATAATCAATCCTGCATTACCCATAAGAAGGAATATACCATAATTCCCATAGTTTACGGTCATTATAAGGCAATGCAGGATTTATATCATCAACCCTAAACCCTAAAACCCTATAGATCCCTTAAAGGAGCCCTCTAAAGGTACCCCTATAGATCCATTTAAAGGAACCCCAGGATTTATATCATCAACCGCAGGACCCTTAAGGCCCACGTACCATAGCAGAGCATGTGAAGCTGCATCGGCCACAGGCACAGGCAGTAAGGAGGGCAGGCACCTACACCATGCAAGGGATCGCGATTTTCGATGTACACTGCAGCTACCCCTACACCCTAAACCCTAAGCCCTAAATCTGATGCAGTAGTCTTAGTGCAGTCTCACTGGAAGATGACACCTGATGAGATGCTTGTCCATTCTCATCACAACACACTGGTGCAAACTTCTGGCTTCTGTGGCTGGCAGAGCCGTGTTCATGGCATAGCTGGGAACCCATGGGGCTTACTCAGTGCACTGAGATTCTGAGACCGTCTTGGGTGCGGTTCGTGGGTCCTCGACAGGTGTTCAAACTTCAGTACTATGCCACTTTCCTGACATTCCCGGAGTTGCGAAGTGTGTGTGTGTGTGTGTGTGTGTATATGTCTATATACATATGTAGCTGAAGGTTGATCGCGATACTTTCAGCGTGCAGTGGGTCCACCCCGAAAGTCCTGGCTCGGTCGGGCACTCCAACATGCCTCCGCCAAAAGGGGACATGCCTTGCGGATTGACCACCTCGCACGAAATTCGACATGGGAGTTTCCGAAAATTAGGGGTCCTTATTTGGGGGTCCTTATAATAGGGATCCAACTGTTTAGGGTACTATAATAGGGCCCTCCATTTTCGGAAACTCCCACATGTAACTCAAAGACTCAACAGATCCGAGGGCCGCTCAATATTGCAAGAAAGCGCAGTCGGAAACAGCATCATTACTGTAAAGAACCCTTTTCTACTAGCATCGTCGTAGTTACACCGAAGAAATTCTGACAGATCAGCTGCACATGAATCTTCAGCCTAGCTGCGAAATGCAGGGTTCTGGCTTCTTCGGAGGTAGATGCCTTCTTATAGGCAGTAGCTCAACCAACTGAGACACCTGATTGATTGAGTCTGGCTCTCGAGTTGTTTGCCTTCTTTCGGTCGTGATTGCGCGGCAGAAACGGCTGAAGCCAAGCCCAGGAAGTTAACCGCCTAAAAGAAGGTACCGAGTAGCATTCATAGGAAGGTGCATGCTGAGAGATGCTTGAAACGACTAGCGCTTCTCCTGGGTTTGTCTTTTCTTTCCTCCTGTGCACAAAGAATCCGGGTCGGCATAAGTCGAAAGCCTCGGGTCAGAGTGACGATTGCAGCTGTTGCTGCTCAGAGTTTGGCTGTGCGTGCGGAGTGCACATTGAAGGTTGGGCTCAAGGGTTGGATAGGTTTTTGATTAAGGGTCTTGGGCTTGGGGTTTAGAGGTTTAAAGTTAGGGATTTTTAGGGTGCGAAGTCTGGGATCAGCTTTGCTTGAGTCTCAGCCTTCGCATTTCTCGAAGGTTGGAAGCCTTCGAATCCCTCCAGAACTTCAAACTCGCACAAGAGCGTATTTTGCAAACTGCTGCTTCTAAGGCTGCTTCTGAGTTGACGCTGCTAGACTGTTTCCGTTGGTGCGGCGGAATCAAATGATTATTTGCAATTGTGCCATGAAGGATCGAGCCGATGTTGATGTTTCAGACTACTCCCATCCTATTTCTCTTCAACATGGATGGTTGTCAAAATGATGGTCCCTTTTTGGGTCCTTAATATAATACTAATATTTAGGGTACACAAAAAGGGACCCTAATTTTTGAGGACCACCCATATGTTTACAACACAGCTTCCAGGTTTCCATCACGACTTGTCTGGTCCTTGAGCTTGAGACGTGACCCTCCGTAGGGGCTGAGGCACGTGGAAGCAACACATCCATGCCTCAAATGCTGAAGTTGGCACGCGGGTTCCTGTTCATCCTGCCATTACTAGCGAAGGGGTTGTGTACACAGTTTCGGCGAAACTGTTGCGCTTCATCTGGAGACCATCCAAGCCTGCGGTATTCAATCCGGCAGCACACGACGTACTACGCAACAAGCAAGAGAGACAGAGAGAGAGAGAGAGAGAGAGAGAGAGACAGGGATAGGGGGGAGTTGACACTGGAGTGATGTTCGGACCAAGCTGACAGAGCGGTTCAGGTACATGGAGATTCATGGTGTAGATTAGGTGAGTCGTCCGTACCGCGCAGCCGACTCTTGATCCAAATTCGGTTGTGTCCCGCAGTGACAGATTGCGGCTGCTATCGATGCTTGACAAGGAAGGAACATGAACTCCAGGTTGAAGTTGGGTCGTGATGTTGCTGGCCATGCCGGTTGTGGTCTGCATATTCATCGCTGTTGCTGCATACTTTTTGAATCAGCAGTCGTCGCTATTGTCCTTGTCGCCGCAGCAAAAAGTGTACTGGTGGCCGTGTCGGTGGTAGGATGTTGGAGCAGGAGCAGGAGGCGGAGGTGGAGTGGGAGCAGAAGTGGCAGTAGTAGTAGAAGTAGAAGTAGTAGAAGTAGGAGAAGTAGTAGAAGTAGTAGTAGTAGTAGTAGCAGTAGCAGTAGTAGTAGTAGTAGTAGTAGTAGTAGTAGTAGTAGTAGTAGTCGTAGAGTAGTAGTAGTAGTAGTAGTAGTAGTAGCAGTAGCAGTAGTAGTAGTAGTAGTAGTAGTAGTAGTAGTAGTAGTAGTAGTAGTAGTAGTAGTAGTAGTAGTAGTGGCAGTAGAAGCAGGAGCAGGAGCGAGCAGGAGCAGGAGCAGGAGCAGGAGCAGGAGCAGGAGCAGGAGCAGGAGCAGGAGCAGGAGCAGGAGCAGGAGTAGTAGTGGTAGTAGTAGTAGTAGTAGTAGTAGTAGTACTAGTAGTAGTAGTAGTAGTAGTAGTAGTAGTAGTAGTAGTAGTAGTAGTAGTAGTAGTAGTAGTGGTAGTAGTAGCATAGTAGTAGTGGCAGGAGCAGCAGTAGTAGTAGTAGTAGTAGTTATATAGTGGTAGTGGTAGTGGTAGCGGTAGTGGTAGTGGTAGTAGTAGTAGTAGTAGTAGTAGTAGTAGTGGTAGTGGTAGTGGTAGTGGTAGTGGTAGTGGTAGTGGTAGTGGTAGTGGTAGTGGTGGTAGTGGTAGTGGTAGTGGTAGTGGTAGTGGTAGTGGTAGTGGTAGTGGTAGTGGTAGTAGTAGTAGTAGTGGTAGTAGTGGTAGTAGGTGGTAGTAGTGGTAGTGGTAGTGGTAGTGGTAGTGGTAGTGGTAGTGGTAGTGGTAGTGGTAGTGGTAGTGGTAGTGGTAGTGGTAGTGGTAGTGGTAGTGGTAGTGGTAGTGGTAGTGGTAGTGGTAGTGGTAGGGGTAGTGGTAGTGGTAGTGGTAGTGGTAGTGGTAGTAGTAGTAGTAGTAGTAGTAGTAGTAGTAGTAGTAGTAGTAGTAGTAGTAGTAGTAGTAGTAGTAGTAGTAGTAGTAGTAGTAGTAGTACTAGGAGAAGTAGTAGTTGGAGTAATTAGTAGTCTCCGGCACCCGTAGAGTAGTTGTAGTGGGAGTAGTAGTCTCTAGCCGTACTGGCAGTGGTTGCGGTGGTGGTGTGGTTGTTGTCTTTATTGGCGTAGCGTTGTTGTTGCTATTGTGGTGGTGACCGTGGCGGCAGTGCTGGCTGCTGGTGCTGGTGGTGATGTTGTGTGAGCACCGGGCAGCGCAATCGTATGGCGGATTGTATCAAAGGAGGCCTGCCAGAAGCAGGCAACAAATGCCACACTCTTGATTTCCTGACAGGTTTGGCAGCAGCATTCTTTAGTTAGTTAACTTGCTTCTGGTGCTGGTTGCAGCAAAGCACATGTCTCCGCATCCTAGCTTTTGAGTGTTGAATCTGCATGCGATTCTCACCCGGCTTGCGAGAACCCGGCAAGACACATGACATAGCTGATCTAGGGCCTCGGCAAAACTGCGTTGGTTGTAACAAAGGCTTTTTTGCCTTACAAAGTTGCATAGAGTTGCATATCCGCTGGCTTGTAACTGTATGTGCAGATATGTTCCATGAAGCCTCTGTGGTTTACTGTAACTATAGACCGTTAGGTCGGGAGGATCGAGAGTAACATCAGGGCCCCTACCGCCATCACCATATCCGCACAACCACCATCGCCAACATCGCCACTGCTATCCAGAGCACCATCAGCGCGGCCAGCACCGCCAGCACTGCTGCAACGTACAAAGCCCCACCAGCACCACACCGCCACTGCCACCGACCTCCACTACCGCGGCTGCTGCCAATGCCGCTTCCACACGTGCAGACAAC